GCGACCGATCCTGCTTCTCACTGATGGGTTTGGGATGCAGGAGGGCTGACGGCGCGGAGGGACCCTGCGGGAGCCAGGGGCTGGAGCAGAAATTCGGAGCAGATCGACACAAGGTGGGTGATGATCTGGGCCTGGAGCATCTCCCTTATGAGAAAGGCTGAGGGACTTGGGTCTCTTTAGTCTGGAGAAGAGAAGGCTGAGGGGGGATCTGATCAACACCTATAAATACTTCAAGGGTGGGTGTCAGGAGGATGGGGCCAGGCTTTTTTCAGTGGTGCCCAGGGACAGGACAAGAGGAAATGGGCATAAATTTGAATATAAGAAGTTCCACCTACACATGAGGAGGAACTTCTTTCCTGTGAGGGTGGCAGAGCCCTGGCAGAGGCTGCCCAGGGAGGTGGTGGAGTCTTATTCTCTGGAGACATTCAAACCCACCTGGACATGTTCCTGTGGGACCTGCTCTGGGTGGCCCTGCTCTGGCAGGGGGTTGGACTGGATGATCTCCAGAGGTCCCTTCCAACTCCGTAGCATTCTGTGATTCTGTGATATAAAAGGAAAAAAATCCCTCACCCATCGCTGATGTGACTGGGGAGTCGGGGGTGGTCGGTAGCACCGTAAAAATGCTCAGAAAAAGGATCATCTGGGTCTGGAGATGTCCCTGCAGGGCTGCTGCCCCGTCTGCGCGGGCAGCCCCACGCCGAGGAACCCGCTGCCCACCGTGGGAAAGATTATTTTACCATATGTTTTCATTCTTCCCTTTTTGGGGAAGCAGGAGGGGCCGGCTCCGAGGCCGGGGGCCGTGGTGCTGCTTGGGATTTCTGTGTCCCCACCCTGGTGGCATTTCCCCTTCTCCATTGCAGGCTCTCACTTTCTATTTCGGGGCTCCTTGCCCACTCCCTGCCCGCCCCAGCTTTGCACCCACGGGGGTATTTCTGACCCCTACACACATTTTCCCGGCAGTTCCAAGCCTGTGACCTCTTCGGCCTTTTTTTGCTTACTTTTTTTTGACAGATTTCCTCCTTTTTCTAAAGTTTTTCCAATGTGAGGCTGGTGGGATGGTGGGGATGGGACCCCCTGTCCCAGTGTCGCTGGGGTTCACCCTGAGCCCGTTCTGGGCTCTCAGCTCCCGCAATGCCCCCCTCCCAGAGGGACTCTCTGGGTGTTCCAGGGGGGATTTGGGAAATTGGGGACCCCAGGGGTTCACTTGTCTTATTCTGGTTTCCCGGGGGAGCGGAGGGACTGGGAGCGTTCGCACGTGTCAGGGCTGCAGCCGCCGCTAATGAGCCCTGGAGGCGTTTCAGCTCAAAAGGCGACGTGCCAAAAAACAGAGGAAAAAAAATCTAAAATTGTTGTATAAGTCGGTGCCACCCACCCAAAGTGGCCACCTTGACCTTTCTGGTGGGTACCAACGCTGGGGGCTGCCCATCGCCTGCGGGTACCCAAACCGGCGGGTGCCGGTTGGTGACTGGTACCAAAATCTGGGCTCGGTGGCCCTCGTCTCCCCATCCTGGGGGCTTTCTTGCCCCTTTTCCCCTGGGGTGGCCCACAGGGGAGGGGGGGGCAGAGCCGTGGGAGAGGCCGTGTTTGCGCAGGATTTGCATTCGTGGCTCTGCAGGAAGGGCCGTGGCACCCGCGGCCTCTCCTCACCGAGCCCGGCCCGGCCGCTGCTTCCTCCTCGCCTGGGGCCCGGCCGGGGGGGGCTTGGCCTCCACACCACCAGGGACACAGGGGTCACAAGGCTTGTGGCCCCCCCCAAGGTGAGTGGGGGGGACTAGGGTTGGGGGGAGAGAGGGCTGGCCCCAATGCGCAACGCTCCTGCCCCTGCCCCAG